TATGCAGTGTATTATTTGTTGAAACTGTACTTTCGATTTGATTTGAAACTGTCTCATTGCTATATGCTTATCAATAAAACTTTGAAAAGAAAAAAAAACACATTAGTAGAAGAGTTACAATAATTAATATATTGCATATTGTTGTCTTCGTAGTAGTTATTTAGAGGACAAGATGTAGACATGATATCTTGTCTAAACAATATTAGTACAAACCTTTCTTCTCCTTGAACTAAGAGAAAGTAGCTGTATATCTAGCCTAAGTGTCTTGTATATACATATTTTTTTCACTACAAAACAGTCCTTTATTTATATCCCCCTTTTAACTTGTTTAAATTGTAACTCTAAAATTTTTTGTTAAGGGCTCTACAGATGCACAAGAAAACTAATCATTTCATGACTAACGCCTTCGATTCAAAATTAAAGTTTATGTTTTAAAGAGCCGTATTACACCATGATGTGCATAATCATTTGGATTTTCTCAGAGTGAGAGGAGATGGTTCTCAGTAGCCAAGCGCTCACATCACAATTGAGCTCCTACAGCACAACAGACAGGGAGAGGGAAGGAGAGGGATTTGTGTCACAGGAGAAGCAAAGATGAACCAGTTACAGCACATAGACCCACTTCCCCCTCTCCCATGGCCCTGCGCACCCCAACTGGCACCCAGGACTTGGTGTGTGCTCACAGCACGGCTGGCACCTGCACCTGAGAAACATGTTTCAGACAGGCATGAGGCTCATTAGCAGGAGAAAATCTCATGGTATTCTGCGGGAAACAGGTCTATGCTGGGAAATGATGGGATGGGAAGGAGCTTTTGCTGCTATTAGAGTCATGGTGATGTGTACGTACACTACAACAGAGACTAAAAAGGCTCCAAATTCCTAAAAAAGGAAAAGCATCAATGAGGCCAAATGTCTCCAAAATAAGTGATATGGCTCTTTAATACCTATTGGCAATTGGGCAATTAAAAGTGGAACACATCACTCAAATGTTCAACAATGACATCCAACACTAGGAAAGCCATATATATATATGGTAGGAAAACTCTTCTGTTATGAAAAGCATTTTAAAAGTTGGTCCCCTAGATAAAAAGACAGCATTGTAAAATGAGCTAAACAGTGAGTTTTTGTGTGTATGGTGGCATTTGAGCCATCAGATGGACTAAAGAGGGAGAGAAGTATATTCCCACTGCAACCTACGCAAAGCAACTCTTTCAGGTCATCCTTTCCAAGAAGACAAAAAAAAAAAAAAAAAAAGAGCAATGGTTGTGCCAAAAAGGGCCACCACAGTCATGTGCGGCCTATTTGCTGCACGAACTGCGCTTGGTGCATATCCAAGGATAAGGCTATTAAGAAGTTTGTCATTCAGAGCATAGTGGAGGCTGCTGCCGTCAGAGACATTTCCGAAGCAAGTGTCTTCGACAGTTATGTGCTTCCCAAGCTGTATGTGAAGCTGCATTATTGTGTGAGTTGTGCCATTCACAGCAAAGTGGTCAGAAATCGATCTCATGAAGCTGGTACGGACCAAACTCCTCCACCCCAATTTAGACCTGCTGGTGCTGCCCCACGACCTCCACCAAAGCCCAGGTAAGGAGAGCTGGGGCTTAATGGACTGAAGAAAACTCTCTTGAGAAAGAAATAGTAAATTGAATGTTATACTTTAAAAAATAAATAAATAAACAAAGCCAAACGTGTTTAACTGAAAATTAGCAAAAGTTTAGCACAAAGTCTACTACAAAACGCCTTGCTGTTTCATGGTCTCAAAATTCTAAATTACGTTTGTACAATAGGAAGTATCATTGCCCATAAGTCAGCTCTTTGAATTCAATATTTATTAGTTATTTTAAATTACTCTGGAAATTAGGCATAAAGAATAACTACCTGCAACTCTCAGCATATGAGAATAATCTATTACATTTATCATGAAAATATATTACTTTTGACCAGTTATTTGGCCTTGTCTTCTACTACCTGAGAAAATAGATACATAAAATGTACTAAATGCTTCCTGATTAAGGAAAAAAGCAGTTTTTTAAAACAGAAGATATAGCCACAGAATTTTAAAAAATACAAACTTTGGTTAGACCCAAGCAAGAACGCAAACTCAAAAAGTACTATATGCTTTGTGAGTAAATGCTGTTGAAATTATTTCCAAGAATTTAATACTATTATCAAATATTATTTTATCTGTCATGTGGGCTGCAAATATGATCTGAGAGTCCCCAGTGAGTGATGACCAAAGCATGTCATTTAGGACACATGACAAATTTTATGATATCTTTTATTGTTGTTTGTCAGTGCAATGTTCAAAAATGAAATGTGAAATGCTAGATTATAAGTGGATATTTCACTGTAGAACTAGAATTATTGGCCAGATACTTGCATCTGTCATCCAAATGGGTGTTGTTACCTCGTGGCCTTTCAAGGTCATTTTAGGGTCAACAGACATAATTACTTGTTATCACAGTAGGCCTAGCGAAAATAATCAAATAAGTACTCTAGAGAGAAAAGGCAAAATATTAAACCTATTAGTAAATGTCAGAGCCATGCAGCCTTTAATTAGTGGACAAATAAGAAAATGTTTACTAGACAGCTACCATCAAACAGATGCAGTCTCATGCTCACATTCAGCATCATGCTCACATAAATAGCCAGTGTATCCAAAGATATCACTAACCAATCTGCCTAAGTATTAATCACCCTTGTAATTACCTTATCAAAAATATTATAATTATCTAGTACACACAGTTCCCTGGGTTCAATCTCTGGCGTAGCCAAAAAAAAAAAAAAAAGAAAGAAAGAAAGAAAGAAGGAAACAAAAGGAAAAAGAAAAAAAGAAAATTCCAAAGGATCTGTGTTGGGCCACATATTCTAATCTTTTGAATTATTTAAAACTATTTTCACTTCTGCAATTCATAAGATCTATAAAAATTTCTACCTAAAATATGGTTCTTCTGGATGTTACAGAAGGGTACAGAAAATATCTTACATAAACACACTGTAAAAGAGTAAGAGGTGTCCTTACAAAATATACAAAGAGCTGTTTATGTTTCCAGAAAACATAAAGAATATAATGAAATCCAAATCCTATTGGTCCTAAATCACTTTGTAATAAATTTTAAATACTGCTTCACATAATAAAAGTTCTAAAATTCATGCTACTATTACTTTTGTTCTAAAGTATTAAACTGAAATGTGTGTGGTATTTAAAGTACAGATTAGGGCTGGTGAGATGGCTCAGTGGTCTAAAGCACCTACTTAGAACAAGCTAAGCTAAGCAAAGCACAGGGACCGGGGTTCAATCCCCCAGCACCACATGCCAGCCAGCCCCGCCCCCTGGTGGGCTGAGCTGGCCACACACACAAAAATATAAATAAATAAATAAATAAAGTACAGATTAGGCCATACTGAGATATTCTCCTTATAATACAGGTGCTAGCTTGAAGTATAAGACCACCTTCATAGACTCTAACATACACCAATGGAAACAGTCAGGTTTTCCAAGCAGGGAAAGCTTGTCTGAATATGTGAAAATTCAATCTATTGTTTCCAAATTAATGATCTCGCTTCAGACAAAAATCTAAAAAACAGACAACATTATTTTTAGAATAGACATAATTCATTATATTAACTTTCTGTGGGATTAATATAAAATATGATGGAAGCAATTTATTTTTTCAAATATGCAAATGTTTAGACCATTTCCAATAGCATTATATCTGAAACTCAGATTAAGTGTGTGTGTGTGTGTGTGTGTGTGTGTGTGTGTGCATATGCACATGCATAGGTGTGTAATTTTCCCCAAATTCTTGACCTTTTTCTATAGGCAGCCTACCTAAAGTATCTCTCAATAGCCTTTTTGAAGAGCAGAAATGAATTACTTTGAAGGAGAAACAATACTTCCATTCAGCTGATTGTCTTCACAGGTGGGCAAGTTATAAAAAAAAAAAGTTTACCAAAATAATCATCCCTTCAAATTATAATTAGGAGGACCGGGGAGATGGCTCAGTAGGATAAGCGCTTGACTGGCAAACGCAAGGATCTGAGTTCAATCCCCGGTTCCGCCAAAAAAAAAAAAAAAAAAAAGTCAAATTATAACTAGGAAAAAGCAATGATGGGAAGGAAATCTCTTCTGTATTGGATGACAGCCAGTGACTCAGAAAAGTATTCCAACAGTAAGTCTTTATCTCACCAAGCCATTCTGTCAAAGTACCAGGAACCCACTGCTGGAGACCACGCACTACCTTTGGAAATCAAGCATAGAAGCCTCAGAGGGTCACGCATGTGTTCGAGCCACTCAAAACACAGCTTAAAGAGCAGCCACCTACATGGCCAGTAGACAAATGCCTGACTGCCCCCACGTGATGGGCCCAGTCGCTCCTATTGACTTTTTAACAACTGGAAAAGATGTTCCTGTTACACAATAAGATTAGGGAGTACATGATAGATTAGTGACCTTTTGAATTAGGACAAGCAACATGGACTCACTAACAAACTCCCCCTTATACTGGAGAGGCTGTGTGAAAAGTGTCAGACATCTGGCCAAAATAGTTGAAGTGCAGATGGAAATACCAAAGTAGAAAGCCTCATTCTTCAGTGTCTGCAGCAAAGACTAAGAGCGGACCTCTGACTTCACTCTTCTCAAAGCACCTCATGATTCCCATCAACAACTACATAGAAAACATTTTCCTGTTTTGATTTATACTTCCATTTTAAACTATGTTTTTAAAATAATCAAGTTAGATTTTTACATTCACTGAAAAATCAGTGCAGGTGTATTAGTGAGCTGGGTTTTAGACATAAAGAAAGTCCACATTTCTTTCATTCTTACTCCCATTTCAATTGTGAAAAAAACTGTTTCATTCACATAGCACAAGGGTTTGGTGTCAGGCAGGGAAATCAGTTTGACCTGGAAAAACATCAAATAACATTGACCTAATATCAGATAGTAGCTGCATGGGTACAACCACAGTTTGCTTTGTGGGAAGTTTTTTTTAACCCTTTCTAAACATCACTGCCTTCAGCTTTAACATGGGGATAAATATTCACTTACTAGATTACTGTAAAGATAAAATCAAACAATCCTTGTGGAACTCAGCACAATGACTCGTATGTGCAGAGACTACGTAAGTAGTCTCAATGTCTGCTATTATTTACTAATTTGGAAAATGTTATTCTAACAGAATAAGTATTTCTTCCTAATGACAAAGTTTTTAGCATTTGATTGTCTAGTTCACTGAACAAAATACAGTATATTCAAAAAGTCTGATGAAGATGAAATGCACAAAACATAGAGGATACTATCCTACTTTTGTTAGGCTGGAATCCTTATTCCTCATATACTACAAGCTATCAAAACAAGACAAGAATTCCTCCACATTTGGAAGGCAACTGTGGAATGAGCTTTACACATAAGTGCGTGCTGATAGAATATCCATTTTAAGTGCTCGTTTTTGGCAATGCAGGTCGCTTGTACTCAGCTGGCAGGAGTACCGCTCTGTGCCACCTCACCTGGGTCAGCTGCCCTGTGCGGGTGAGAAGCAAGTCCTTGCTTGTGAGACCACATGAAGAAAACTGGCTTCTGAGGAAGACAGCAGCTGTGGCTACATTAGTGTTCTGTCCTACATAGCTGAACCACACAAAGTGAAGCCCAGGTACCATCCGTCCCAGAACTTTAATGCATGGATATATTGCTAAGTCTCAGACTAAGTAATGCATTACTTCTGAGCATTTTATTAATGTTTTTCAAATGTGGCTTACAGGAAGTCTAAAATTCTGAAAACAAATGGATAATTCACAGAAACTCTTGTGACAGTCACTGCTTCAAATCACAAGATGTGAAAAATGTTATTAATTTCTAAACACTGTACTTTGAGGATGAAGTATTGGGACAGAAAATGAACTGTAAGATTGCTCTACACAATTGTGAGAACTGATTCTACCCTGCAAAGCTGATTCATACTGGCTATGTGTGGAGTCAACCTTCCTACTCAAATGACAATGTGTGGTAGATCATGACAAGCCTAAATTACATAAAAAATACTAAATATATTTCCGATGGTCCATGACAACAACAAGTACATACATCAAATTCTTATTTAGACCTACTCTTTTGAATTTCACTGGTTTAAGAAAACACGTTATTTACTATGTCAACTGTGTAGAAAACACTACCCAATCACATTAGGCTACCATATGGACGCTCGTGTCCTCCCAAAAGTGCTATGCTGAAGCCTAAGCCCCAAAGTGGTATGAGGAGGCAGCAGCTTTGGGAGGCAATCATATACAAGGGTGCAGTACTGCAAGAAGGACTGAGGATTCCCACGTCCTTATACACGAGGCACCAGAGAGCTGCATTCTGCCTTAACCCAGGAAGAACACGGCAAGAAGCTATCATCCAGGAAGTGGGCCTTCAGCAGACCTGACTTGACAGCTCCTTGTCTCGCCATAAAGGTACAGGAAATGCTGCCAGAGACAGATATGTTTAACCTCATTTGAACATTGCAGTGTGTATACAGGTACTTAAACACCATGTGGTGCTTGACAAATATGTACAATTTTTATGTACTATTCAAAAATAAATGTAATAAC